CCTGCTTCTAGTCTTTCATCTCCCCCAAATAACCTGGATCAGTGTTCCTTAAAATTTTAACTGCCAGGAATAGGGTTTCCAGATGAAAGATGAATAATTTTTGTATAACTATGTCCTATAAAATATTTGGAACATACTTTTATGAAAAATTATTTGTTTGTCTGAAGTTCAAATTGATTGTCAACCTGTATTTTATTCATTGAATTGGGCAACTCTAGCTGGAGACACTTAATAAAACCGGTGTAGCCCTGGTCGGTTTGGCTCAGCGGTTAGAGCGTCAGCCTGCGGTCCAGAGAGACCCGGGTTCGGTTCCCGCTAAGGGCACGTACCTCGGTTGCAGTTTGTCCCGGGCCCTGGTTGGTTGTGTGGGTGGCGGCCACTAGATGTGTCCCTTTTACGTCAATGTTTCTCTCTCTCTCTCTCTCTCTCCTCCTCTCTCTCCCTCCCACTCTATCTGAACAAAAAATAGAAAAAAATGTCCTTGGGTGAGGATAAAAAAAATAAAACCGGTGTATCTGCAGACCACCATTTTAGGTAATTAAAAAACCTGGCTTACCACAATGATTAAGGTAACAGAAAAACTTGTAATAGTTTAAAAATTAATAGTAGTAATATTAATTGTTTAATACTGATAAGCTGAAAACGTGCACTAGGTCAGTTTTCACAACAACTTAATTTTTATTTCTACTAAAATTAGAAAATCTGAATTACAATGAGTCTGTCAGATACTGCAATGAGTGTTTGATGGCTATGTCGTACCTCTTTATCCCCAGGGAATACGTTCCAAGACCCCCAGTGATGCCTGAAACCATGGATAGTACCAAACTCTATATATACTATGCTTTTCCTATAACACATACCTATGATAAAGTTTAATTTATAAATTAGGTAAGTAAGAATTACGAACAATAACTAATAATAAAATAGAAAAATTATCACAAGACATTGTAATAAAAGTTATGTGAATGTGGTCTCTCTCAAGATATCTTATTGTACTATACTCACCCTTCTAGTGTTGATATGAGATACACAATGCCTATGTGATGGGATGGAGTGAGGTGGGATTTTTTCATTTCATATTTTTAGGTCGTTTGATTACTGGTAACTGAAACTGTGAAAAGTGAAACCGCAGGTAAGGGGAGACTACTGCATTTGGATCTGTCATGGATCTAGTATTGTGGAGAGATTCTAATAGAAGACAGCTTTCAGCAGCTTGTCAGACCCTAAGTAGAATAGTATGTAGCAAACTCCAAAGTTGAATGTTTCATTCAGCTTGGGAGAGAGTAGGAGTTGTATTCAGTTGTATGGGTTACATTCAGCTCTGAAAAGCATTTTTCCCCATTCAGTTTGGATGTGGTTTAAAATATATTTAATAATGTGTCATTCAGCCCTGGTCAGTTTGGTTCAGCGATTAGAGCATTGGCCCATGGACCGGAGAGTCCCGGGTTCGGTTCCCGCTAAGGGCATGTGCCTCAGTTGCAGTTTGTCCCCGGCTCTGTTTGGGGTTGTGTGGGTGGCAACCACTCAATGTGTCTCTCTCACATAGATGTTTCTCTCTCTCTCTCTTCCCCACTCTCTCCCTCTCACTCTGTCTGAAGATAAATGCAAAAATGTCCTCAGTGAGAATAAAAAAATAATGTCATTCATATTTTTCTGATGAAGAAAAAAATGATTATGTATTGGGAAATAGTAAGGCATTCCTATAACAGTCTGGTTTTCTTAGAAAATCCTGATACTTTGTTTTTAAGATTAAAAATCATGTCATTTAGAACTATGCCATAAGTTCAGGTTACTAAACATAATGAATATATTGCTTAGATAAGCCATTTGGCAAGTTTATTTGAAAACATAATTTTTAAGTATTATCTTCATAGTTAAGAAGGATTTTTACTCCAGCCCTTATTACAAAGTTGTGAGAGCATCTTCTCCATTACTGGCCTCTATACTTCATTGTGAAAAAAGTAGTCTTCTAACATTTGTTTATTTTTTCTCAAAGATTATGCTTATTGGCTGCTACTTTACATTTACAGTTTGTACTGTTTTGTTCTATGTTGAGTCAGAATCAGGAAAAATATTGTTTTTAAAAATTAAAAAAGTTTTTCTTTTTTATTAATTTTAGAGAGAGAGGAAGGGAGACGGAGAGAAAAATAGAAACATCAATGAGAGACAACATCTATTGGTTGCCTCTTGCATGGCCCCACACTGGGGATTTAGTCCACAACCTGAGCATGTACCCTGACCGGCGACCTCTTGGTGTATGGGTCGACACTCAACCACTGAGCCACACCGGCTGGGCAGGAAAAATATTTGTTTGACTACCAGCTGTTCTCTGTATAAAACAGAAAATGGACTGACATTTTATTGATTGTAGAAATAATGTGCTTTGTACAGCCAAAGTTACAACTCCATCAGCTTTGATTCCAAGATACCTTTTTCAGATTTTCTCATACCTCACAAAATAATTCTTTTTTTAAATGATTTTTTTTTCTAAATGAAACTGTCTTTTTCTGTAACTTGAATTTCTATTTTATGTAGTTTTATTTTTTGGCTAATTCTCACCCGAGGACATTTTTCCATTGATATTTATTTATTTATTTATCCTCGCCTGAGGACATTTTTCCATTTTTTGTTCATATAGAGTGGGAGGGAGAGAGAGGAAGAGAGAGAGAGAGAAACATCAACATGAAAGGGACACATTGAGTGGTTGCCACCTGCACGACCCATCCAGGGCCGGGGACAAACAGCAACCGAGATACGTGCCCTTAGAGAGAACCGAACCTGGGTCTCTCTGGACCGCAGGCTGATGCTCTAACTGCTGAGCCAAACCGGCCAGGGCTTCCAATTGATTTTTAGATAGAGTGGAAGTGAGGGAGGGAGAAAGAGAGAGAGAGGGGGAGAGAGAGAGCGAGAGAGAGGGAAAGAGAAGGAGGAAGAGAGAAACATTGATGTGAGAGAGACAAAAGACACATTGATTAATTGTCTCCTGCAGGGCCCCGAACCTGCAACCTAGGTACATGCCCTTGACTGGAAATCGACTTGTAACTTGAATTTTTAAATAATAAATCAAATAGGAAGTTTCTGGGCATTTTTTAAATTATGCATTACATATATGCTCTGAAATGATTCATAGTGTGTACACCAGTGGTATCCACTTGTAAGGTAAGTGCATGTGTTAGCAGGTACAGGGCTGATATTGCCTTTTCATATTGTATACTATGATTATTTCTGTGATACTTAATTAGGGATTTTTGCCAATAACTTGTTAGACTTTCTTTAAGCAAAACATTTGTTATTAACTTTGTAACTAATTGTACAAGTATTTCTGAAACAAAATAACTTTCACCAATTTTTTAATTGAGGGATGTAACTTGGATCTTTTCATCTACAAATTCATCCATTTTTTTTTTGTAATCCTCACCCGAGGACACTTTTTCATTTTTTGTTCAGATAGAGTGGGAGGAAGAGAGAGAGAGAAACATCGATGTGAAAGGGACACATAGAGTGGTTGCCACCCACACGACCCAACCAGGGCCGGTGACAAACTACAACCGAGGCACGTGCCCTTAGCGGGAACTGAACCCGGGTCTCTCTGGACCGCAGGCCGATGCTCTAACCGCTGAGCCAAACCAGCCAGGGCCAAATTCATCCATTTTGTATTGGAAAACATTATTTTGCATTTACTCTGGAAGAATACATTTTACTTGGCAGCAAGGTTATCACATGTGGTTCAAAAATTACTTGAAAGCTTTGATGGCTTTCCAACTAACTGTTTGAAAAAATATCCTAACAGTTACGGGTAATGGGTAAGAGACAAAAGGATTGGTGGCCCAATAAAATCCAATTTTTAGGTATTCATAGTTGTATTTCCTATTTATTTTGCTGCTTAGATGAACTCACCATATTTAAAGACACATAATAATTCACATCCTATATCTGCACTGCAGTCTTGTTTAATGGTTAGCTACCTTTACTACATAACTTTGAATTGAAGTACTTATTACTTTTTTCCCCTAGTTCTTTTGCTTCCATGTGCTTCTGAGTGGATAATTTTTCTCTTTTTGGTGAACTGGAAATACAACACAAGAAAATGGTAAAAAAGAAAATTTTATTTTTCACCCGGCCGGTGTGGCTCAGTGGATTGTGGTTCAGTGGATTGAGCATTCTCCCATGGACTGAGAGGTCCCAGTTAGATTCCTGGTCAGGAATGCCTGGGTTGCTGGCTCTACTTCCAATAGGGGGCATTCAGGGGGCAGCTGATCTATGTTTCTCTCTCTCTAAAAAAATCAATAAAACATATTTTAAAAAAACCCAGAAAATTTACCCTGGCTGGTTTGGCTCAGCCGTTAGAGTGTTGGCCCACGGACCAAAGAATCGGGGATTCAAGTTGAGTCAAGGGCCAGTACCTTGGTTGCGGTTTGGTCCCCTGACCTGGTCGGAGTCCTGCCGGAGGCAACCAATGAAGACACATTGATGTTTCTCTCTCTATCCCCCTTCCACTCTATCTGAAGATAAATGGAAAAATATCCTAAGGTGAGGATTAAAAAAAAAAAAAAAAGAATGCAGAGATGCTCAATAGCATAATGGGATTTTGTTAAAACTCTAATTAAATTTACATTAAACAGTTTATAAAAGATATGTGAGAAGGTACAACCTCGTAGTGCTAAAACACAGGGATGGGTGGGACGTGTTCCCAGAGTCACACTCCTTTGGTTCACCTCCCACACCTCTACTTCCTAGCTGGGTGTCTCTTGCTTAACTGCTTTGCTTCTGTTTCATTATCTGCAAAATGGATATAACAGTAATAGAATCTACCTCACAAAGTTTTGTTGTGAGGATTAAGTGAATAAATACATACAAGAAGTTTTAGACAGTGTCTGGCCCAAAGTGCTCAATGCTTACTATTATTAGAAAATAAATCTGTGCTGTCCTCACCTTACTAAAAACCTGTCACTATATCCCTATCTTTGACCAGAGGAAGTTACCCTACACAGCCAAAATACCTTCTTGCCTTCTGTTTTTGACTGTCGGTAGCCCAGATCCTCTTGCACTACGAGTTCCATAGCAGGCATTCGAAAATTAGTTATTGAAATTTTTCCCCCAGGGACAAAGGTCCTTAAAAGAGGAAAAAATATAAAAAGTATTACAAACCACTATGTGAAGTTTAGGCATTAGAGCACCTAAAGAGGATTTTAGAAAAACAATCGTTTGCAGAGTGGCTAACCCGGCCAAGCGAAGCTTTTTAGTAAAATTGTTTTCCACTGACGTCTCTCATCACTGACCTCTGAAGCTCAGGAGGTGGGATTAACGAGACAGCTGACTTCTTCCTTGCCCTCCCTCTTCCACTGGACCGGCTGGTTCAGTGCACAGCCCTGTCTGTGTTCGATTTGGCGTTTCCATTGGTCAGTTTCCCCAAGGAGGCTGACCGCGCGTATGACCCCGCCCCCATATAGGCGGGGTCTCTCAGCCTTGGGTCTGGAGACGGTGGGGGTTGTTGAGGCCGCCATCTTGGATTTCGCGGTAGCGGTGGCGGCTGTAGGGCGCCGCGTCTGGGGAGTGGCTCTCCCCTCCCGCTCCCCACCGCCCCGTTCGGTGGCGGCGGCTCCTCCCACTAGGGGGGGGTGGTGGGACGGCGGTGGCACCTACGGCTATGGCGGCAACAACTGCTAATCCCGGTGAGGAGACGGAGGACTGGGGCTCTTCTAAAGGAGGAGGGGCTGAAGGGGTTGGCAACTGAGGTGGACCCAGGGTTGACCGGCCGTAGTTGGAGATGAGGGCGCCGGGGCGCCGAGGGGGTCTAGGGGTGAGGGGACTGACCTAGGGAAGGGGCTCGACCCTGGGGACCTGGAGAGACCAGAGTTGGAGGGGGTGGCAGCGGGCGGGAGTTGGGGGTTCCGTGCCTAGGCTTCTTTTGGAGCTGGTGGCGTTCTGGTGTTCGATATGGTCCTCTTTCAGCCCTCTGCCCACTGGAGCTGCTTGACGCCGAATAACTGGGCAGAGTAGCTCGGTTTACTTTAAAAGTAGCTTGGACTCAAACTCTGGACCACGTTGCTGTTTATATGAGGTGGTAATTCCAAAAGTTTAAACGTTTAGATTTTAATTTAAATTAAAAAAATATTTGAATATATTCTCACAGTTTCTCTAGGCTGTATCTCCCCCCCCCCACCCCCCGAGCTGTCCTTTGAAATTTGCGTTTTTGTTTTAAGGGGTGCCTCTTAGTGTCTTTGACTGTTGAGGGCGGAGGTTTGTGAAATGGTTGAGATTCAGGGCAGATCTTAACAAACAGCAAGCATCCAGAAACCCACGTTTAAATACTGTTAGGTGTGGATCGAAGCATTTCCAGTATCTAAAGAAAAGTTTAGTGAAGTGCCATTTCTCAATGAACATCTATACAAAAGGGGGAGATTAGATATTAAAAAAAAAATCTAGCCAGTCATGTCTAAGAGACGGAGCGAGGTGTAGTGCATCAGGTGTAGACAGATAGGTCTCCAAATTTCTAGTCCTAGTTCTCTTTCCACTGTATTACAGTAATTTACCCATAGGAAGTATTTCATTTTAGGGGTCCTAGTTTACCTTGCTTACCTTGGCCATTCTCTTGCAAAATAAAATCCTTTAGAAATCCCTTTTAATGGACTTTTTTTCCCTAAGAGGTGGGGATGAATTTCTTGAAAATGTATGGGGGAAGGGATTCAGTGCTGTTCCCACGTTGCGATATAACTTGGATTTTTTTCGTGTCTCTAAAGTCAGTATTATTTTGCAATATCCAGGTTTTGCTATTACAGTTGAATCACTCTGAAATTTACTGTCTTTCTTACCATGTTTCTGGGAACAGAGCTATTTAAAGAAGTTAATTTGTCACATGTCAATATCATATTTTTAAATCTTTTAAGTTTTTTTTTTTTAGAGGAAAAGGAGATAAAATTCCATTGCAGGAAGTGCTGAGTGATGGAATCAAATAGGAGAGGTTCCATTATTATGGCCTTGTAGTAAAATAACCTAATTCCTAACTGGAGAGTAAATAACCAAGATATTAAACTGATAACACATTGCTAAATACTTATATAACCCTAGTCAAGTTGCAAAGCATTTCTGTTATTAAGAGGTGGCCTGGGTAAATAAACAAGGTTAGTGCATATGTCAGAAGCTTTTTTTCCAGTAGTGTGGGTGGGGTTGCTTTATTTTGTTGTGTGTGTGTGTGTGTGTGTGTGTATGTGTGTGTATTTTAAACAATAGTAACTAGAATGACAATCTCTTGACCACATTTTCATTAGCTGATTAATATCAGCTTAAGTCTGAAAATAGAAAATACTGTTTATTTGTGCTGAATCCTTGCTAACGAAACAGTTGATTTTGTTTCTTGTCCTTTGGCAATCTACTTCTGCAATTTAGATTTCTTTTTGATGTTGAAACATTCTTCCAACTCTTCCAAGTTACTGATTCCATGTTCAACACATTATAATTAAATTAGAAAATGTATTTTCTTTCTTAATTTCTTTTGCCACTTTATATCATAAGATCATAGATGCATTGTGGACTTTTAGTAGCTTGTTGCATTTTGGGAAATAAAGACCATGAATGGAGGGCCACAGGATGGAAATATACTGTGCTCAGTGAAAAAAAAAGTTGATGGTTTTCAGGTTAGACTTCTTTGTTACATGGTAAAACCTTTTCTAAGAGCCATTTTAGGGACTAGCCACATCACACCTATTTCTCTGAGTTTTTTCTACTTTGATTTTTTGTTGGTGGTTATTTCCCTACGGTTCATGTTAGTTTTATCTTTACATATTGTCTGCAGAGGGTTTTTGTAATAATTATCTAACTGTTCTCTCTAAGCTTCATTAAGTTAATCCTTAGCATTAATAACAGTGTTGATCATTTTAATTGTACTTAGAGTATGATTTAGGGACTGTTAGTAGCCCACAGGGGACCTGGTTTCTTTACATTTTTACTGTCTTAACTTGATGCTGGATCAAGAGAGAGTAAGAAATGTTTTATACTCTGCTCTCTGAGTTATGCTTAAGTAATAGTTCTAATATGATAATAGCTTAATTGATAGTTCATTATATTCTATTATTTTATTTTTTTTCCATTTTTTGTTCAGGTAGAGCGGGAGGGAGAGAGAGGAACAGAGAGAGAGAGAGAAACATCGATGTGAAAGGAACACATTGAGTGGCTGCCACCCGCATGACCGACCAGGGCCGGGGACAAACTGCAACCGAGGTACGCGCCCTTAGCGGGAACCGAACCTGGGTCTCTCAGGACCGCAGGCCGACGCTCTAACCGCTGAGCCAAACCGGCCAGGGCTATTCTATTATTTTTTACTAACTCTACTTGCCATTGGCAAATAGGAGTGAGTAGGTTGGTGGTCCATGAAGTCATAGGCTATATCTTTCTAGTCAGTAGAATTTTTGAGGAACACTTCTAAAATTGCATGTGTGATTTGTAATGCATTGGTTAAGGTGCTGTGCTGGTAGGGAAGAGAGTAGGTATTTAATTTACATTCAGTATTCAAACCGAAGATGTGAATGAGTTTGTAGGTTTTCCTCCCTTAATTCTGGTATTCTCTCTCTCTCTCTCTTTTAATCCTCACCCAAAGATATTTTTCCATTTATCTTCAGATAGAGTGGGAGGGATGGAGAAAGAGAGCGAGAGAGAGAAACATCGATGTGAATGAGACACATTGATTGGTTGCCACCTGCATGACCCCAACTGGGGCCAGGGACAAACCTCAACCGGACCTAGGACTCTTTGATCCATGGGCCTATGCTCTAACCACTTAGCAAACTGGCCAGGGCAATTCTGGTGTTCTCTTTAGCAGAGATCTCTTTTTGTGCTATTTAGGCACCATTTATTGTGAAAGGAAAATATAGTAGAAAGCAAAGGAAGGAATACTATTTGGGTTTGTAAAGCTGACATGTCCTTTCCACATAATTTTCGCCTATATAAATTATAGGTCTTTTTTTTTGTTAATCTTCATCTGAGGATATTTTTCTGTTTTTTAGAGAGAGAGGAAGGGAGGGAGGGAATTAGAGAACCATCGATGTGAGAGTCTTAAAAGCATCAATTAACAAAATTTTGCCCACTGCCTTTTTTCAGGTAGAGGAAAATAGAAATGTATGCAGTGTAAAATTAAGGTGCCAAGATACTTTTTTTTTTTTTATCCTCACCCGAGGATATTTTTCCATTTTTTGTACAGATAGAGTGGGAGGGAGAGAGAGAGAGAAACATCGACGTGAAGGGACACATCGAGTGGCTGCCACCCACACGACCAACCAGGGCCGGGGACAAACTGCAACCGAGGTACATGCCCTTAGCGGGAACCGAACCCGGGTCTCTCCGGACCGCAGGCCGACGCTCTAACCGCTGAGCCAAACAGGCCAGGGCCAAGATACTTTTTTATTCTATTGCTAAACACTTTTTAAAAAGTGTTTATATTTTACTAATTTAACAATTGACATATAATTAACATTTTTGAAAAAGAACCTTAATCTGCATACTTTTTATGCTATTAGAGTTGTGGCATCAACCTGTATCTTCTCCATTTTCTTGGAAATTAAGAATAAATACTTCTGCTTTCTTGGAACTCTGGTTTTCTTGTTTTGAAATAGTGGTCTCTCAGCCCAGTGTTTTGAATTCCAGTCCTACCCCTCTACTCAGTCCAACAGATGAGACTAATATGTTGTCTTATAGTCATTTTGTGAATGTTTTTTGTGATTCTCTGCTATAGATGACTGTCTTCTAAGGCAATAACAATAGGAATTTCCACAGTAGTTGATTTTCAAAAAACTAAATTGCAACACTCAAGGAAACAAAACACTTTTAAAAATTATTTTATTTAGGCCATGACATTTTGGAGGTTTTCATTCCAAAACTAGTAAAATTTGAACTAAGCTTTCTTATATCTCATCTCTGTAAAAGACATCTTTAGTTGAATAGTCTTTTTTTATTAATTTTTAAAAAATCCTCACCTGAGGATATTTTCTATTAATTATTATTATTATTTTTAGATAGAGTGGAAGGGAGGGCAGGGTAGAGAGAGAAACATCGACATGAGAGAGACACATCTATTGGTTGCCTCCCACACAACCCTGACTGGGAACCTGCAACCTAGGTACATGCCCTTGACCGGGGATTGAACCCGTGACCCTTCAGTCAGCTGGCCGATGCTCTAGCTGCTGAGCGAAACTGGCCAGGGCTGAATAATCTTTAACATACTATTTTTTTATGTGCTCACCAATATTTTCTTCATATCTGTTTCCCTTAACTTTTCTTTGTCTTTCTTGATGAGCAAAGTTTTGTATTCTATGTTTTTATCTGGTTATCACATCTATTTTGCATAAAAAAATATTTTTAATAAACTCTTTGTTAAAAATTTTTTTTTTCTTTATTGATTTTAGAGAGAGAGGAAGTGCGAGGGAGAGAGAGATAGAAACATCGATGAGAGAGATTGATTGGCTACCTCCTGCATGCCCACCACTAGGGATCGGGCCCACCACCTGGGCATGTGTCCTGACCGGGAATCGAAATGGCGACTTCTTGGGTCGATGCTCAACCACTAAGCCACACCAGCCGGACATAAAAAAGTATTTTTAAACATAAAAAATTTAAAACATATAAAATAAATATTTAAAATATATTTAAACGTTTAAATATCTATATGTTTAAAGTTATTTAT